AATAATAAATAAAAATCCAGGTAGGTAATAATTGTTAAGTATACATACATATACATATAAAAGGTGTTCCAATAACTTGAACCAATTTTACTGTGAATTAAGTTTAAGCATCTAGTGATTTTCTTCTTTTTCTTTCAGACTTGGTGGATATTTGAGCGATATTATTTTTCACACATAATTGCCATGACTTAAATATCATGATCCACTAGAGAAATAAATAAATTTTCACCAGTAACACTGATTTATTTACTGCTGACTTTGATCCATCTTAATGCAACACCCTTATATATAATCCATCTTAATGAAACACCCTTTACATATATATATATATATATATATATATATATATATAAAATAAGTAACTATTTAAATAAGTAGATAACCAGTAATTAAAAATATTTGTTTTGACTTCTATGTTGTTTACAAAATAACTTTCTTGCAAGAAACAAGTGTTTATAAAAAAAAATAAAAAAGTAAATATTTAGATTTTGACTCATTGTAATGTCGTGGGATTAATAGTTATCATAAATATATATATATATATATATATATATATATATATATATATATATGTTCAGTCAATAATTCAATATTTTATCTGATAAGCGCCAACACTTGCTTGGTCGCAGTATTGTGAATATCTTATTTATTGATTATATATATATATATATATATATATATATATATATATATATAATATAAAGCTTTCATTAATTTAAAAAAAAATAAAGCGTTAGGAAATCAATTAACCAGAATCCCCTGTAGATACCAAAAGGTTGAAACCAAAGTAACAGAATCATCTAATTTTTATATCTTAAAGCTCTACATGATAATTTTTTTATATATACATGTATTAAGCACTTTTTATTACTACTGTTTCCTGATCTAATTCAACTCTGAACATTAACCTCTTTTTATTATATATATACATGTGTGTGTGTGTGTGTGTGTGTGTGTGCGTAAGGGCACCACTCTGTGGTGTAATCGTTAGAAAGCTGGTCTTGTTAGATCAATTACGACTGAGTATTGAGTTCGCTCCTCCATATTTTCGGCCTTGTGTCGCATCTAAGCCGCACTTAGAAAATCTCTATGTATGCATGTGTGTGTGAGAGAGAGAGAGAGAGAGAAAGAGAGAGTATGTGTGTGTGCTTGTGTGTTTGTTTGTGGCTGGCCACTCATATCTGACTATGCCAGTCTGCTATGGCTGCTTGCTTGTCCCTGTTGCAGATGCCTGCTCAGACAGGTTTTTATTCAACACCCACAGAACTGCAACTATGCTTAGCAGATCTTAGCTGTAGTTTCTGGGAGTGGGGGACCGTATAATCTGGTGTTATCAGCAGTTTGAAGAAAGACAGTATCCTCAAACCCTTGGTGACAGTGACGTGTGGCTTTGTGCTTAGCACAAGCATCGACAGCTTCTGAACAGAAGGCTTGGGTCAACTCGTGGTTTACTTTTCAGGCACTTTCCAATATTGCCACAGGAAGGGATCAACCCCGATATTACAAACCGACCATCGTGTGATTTGAACCCACATCTCCTGATCAAAAAGCTAATGTCCTAACCACTTTATATATATATATATATATATATATATATATATATATATATATATATATATAAAATATTTTTAAGTTTTTGAGTTAACTCATAACACATCCATAGATGTTCAATCCCTGAAAATGGTCTCAGATGAGATTGAAAGTACTTGGTAAAAAAATTATTTGAAAGAAAATTTTCTACAGCTACCAAAACATTAATTCGTGAACTTGAAAGGATTAAAGCTAAAATAAATAGACATAATACATCTAAATTAATTAACCAAACATGCCTGAATGAAAATAGGCTGTCTATATATATATATATATATATATATATATATATATATATATATATATATGTGTGTGTGTGTGTGTGTGTGTGTGTGGTAATCCGTTGTTATTTAATCCAAGTGAATCCTATTAACTCAATATAAAATATTAAATATTAAAACTGATTCACACATAGAGCTCAATGTTTTTATAATAAACAGACCAATATGTTTCATACAATCGGAATTAAGATACCATTATGTAAATGATAATTTTCAAGTTATAAAATTGGATTTTTAAAATTAAGATTTTACAAGGTCAACATGATCATTTGCACAATGGTATCTTAATTCCGATTGTATGATATAATTCCGATTGTATGATATATATATATATATATATATATATATATATACACGTTCATATACAGGCATATGCACTATATCACATTTTATACAATTTATGCAAGTCATTTTTTCAAAACCAACTGATTTTAGTAAAATTTTCAGTATATACTTATATTTGTATAAGCAATCAGCTTATAATATTTATCCTTAAAATGCAACCACTCCTCGCTTATGGCTCCGTTCCAATGACCTAGTTGCTAAACAAGCTGGCCATAAAGTTGTACCCGGTCGGTATTTCAAGCATTATACATAAGTACCTGGTTTTGTGTCAACCAGTTTCAAATAGCTTTCATCATAATGTCAATTTTGCAGCATTTATAATATTTATATTTTTTCGAAATGTTTACAAAGTAGTATCATTGTGTACTGATGAGTAAACATAATAAACATTAAAAAAACACCTCCACAGAAAGTCGATCTAGGATCGGCAAAAAAAAGAATGGAGGAATCACACTCACCTCCAATGCAGCAAAAATGTACAACTAAATGCTTCTCAACAGAAACCGGAAGTAAAGAAGGTGATCCAAAAAAATCAACATGGCTCTCGAGAAAATAGATCAACCGTTGGACAAATCCACAGTGTTCAGCGGATTATTGAGGGTGTCAAGGCAAAGAATTTACAGACCAACTTACTTCTTGTAGCTTTCTCTAAATGCTTTGATTCTGTACATAGGTGGGTGGGAAATGGAGAAGATCTGGCATATGTCACCCCTACCTGAGACAGTAACTGCCATAATGATACTGTAGGAAAAATACCAAACCTTTGGTTAGATCCCCAGATGGAGAAACTAGCTTCTTCAACATCAAAGCAGGTGTCCTTCAGGGTGATACCTTTGCAACTTTTCTCTTTATTATCATCCTTGACTAGGTATTGAGAACTTCCCTTGGCAATCATCATCATCTAGGTTTCACTTTACATTATTTACATAATTCGGACGATTGCCCTCATTTTTGTCTCTATAGTCATAAGTGGCTACCTAGAGACATTAGATAAAGAATTGGTCAGTATAAGTAGTTCCCTACAATGTAACAACAACCCTGGGTACATGGCAGCAGCTCCCCAAAAATGGGATAGGCGGGTACAAGAGGAGGACAATAACACTCAGAAAACAGTCTGTTTGCCTTATGTGAAGGGGTTATCAGAGAAAATGCAAAGGATCTGCGGTCCATATAACATCAGGACAACCTTCAAAAGCTTGACGACACTTCGCAGATATCTCTCCCGAGTAAGACTCCCCACCCCCCATATAGAAGAACATGACTAAAGACTGTGTGTACGCTCTCCCGTGCAGCTGTGGAAAGAAATATAAAGGTAAGGCTTCAAGAACACCAGAAAGCTGTAACATGAGGGGAAGGGGAAAAATCAGGCGTGGCTGACCACATATGGAGAGAGAAGGGTGATTACCGCCCTCTGTGGGATCAGGTCGAGATCATAGGCGAAGAACGCCACTGGAAAATTCGTAAACTTAAGGAATCAGTACATATGCTAGCCCACAAAAATCTCCTGAGCCAACCAAGCATAGAAATTGATCTAATATGGGAACCAGTAATAAGGAGTGCCAGAGAAAAGCGATAATAACAACAAAAATTGCAATATGAGCTCTGGTAAAAACATGCAACGATAACAACAAAAATTCCAATATGAGCACTGGTAAAAATGGTTGTTGAAGACATTAGGTTTATAATACCCAGAAATTCATACACAGATGTCCTCAATCCACATGGCACAGTGGATAAAGGCGTTAGTTAGATCCAGAGTGTGGGTTCAATACCCGGTTAAGGCAGTGGAGAACTCGGAGAGGGAAATTAACAGGAGATAACTGACATCCATCAAAGAACTAGAACAGTCTACCCAAGTGAGCGAAATAAAGGGTTCAGTTCGACATTCCAACGACCTGAAGAAGGCCGGAGCGTACAACGGCCGAAACGTTGTAATAAATATGGCGACAAAGATGAGGACAATAATCCGAATAATGTAAATAATGTACATAATACCTCATCTCAGAAATATAGACAGATACAGGTTTTACTTTCTCACCAAGACTTTCAAGTCGATATCCTCCAAAAATGTTGACAGATATTGATTATGCTAATTACATAGCTTTCACTGCAGGCACCATTACCAATGCCACAGTTCTCCTACTAATCAAATCAAAGATTAAGGAGTTGGTATAATTCATTATTTGCCAACAACTTTAGAACCAGAAATTCTCAAATAGTCATCAGTTTTAATATGACTTCAAAAATTTAAATTTACTGGTCGACAGGGCAGTGAAATTTTAATATGCTTAGTTAGAATTTACTAGTTCAAAACTATATTTATCCAATTCTAACACAAGACGATAATTTTGTAGCATTAAGGATTGAATCAGCCACTTTTCCATAAAACTGTAAGTAGAAGGTCTTTAAGGGCGTTAATTTTTCAGTCATACGAGTGAGTAGTTGTGATCAGGTTTTTTTAACGATTAACCTTAGAAAATACTCAGAAAACAAGCAGTTTGAAATAGAGCATAGCAAACATTAGAAAATGATAATTTAATTGATTCTTTGTCCGGTTGTAGGATACGTGCAGAAGTGTGCTGAAAATGTCGGCAAAAGTCGTTCATATTCTTGTTTGGGAAAAGAGACAGCTGTCGAACGTTAACATTAATATGTAAGTAAGAAAAGTTGAAGATGAATGGAGAAGAAATCCGTTACTTATTGATTTGAAATTTTGAAAATCTGAAATAACATTGTTACGTAGTAATTTTAAAAACTTTTTTTTTTAAATTCGAGTTTCGAGGCTTACGGCCATATAGCATCGAAATACCTGTTCGATTACCGAAGTTAAGCAACGTCGAGCCTGGTCAGTATCTAGATGGGTGACCTCGTGGGAATACCAGGTGCTGTAAGCTTGGATGTGCGGGTGGTGTAATGAATAATAGTACGGTATTGTTAATCAGAGAGCTGAGTTCCTGTTTTAGATGCGTCACTTATGCGCAGTTACCCTTCGGAAAGGTATAAACCCATCTCTTCTCCCTTAGCTATGGGTTAATTAATAACAGTTGTATCACTAAATAAATATTATCTCTCTGCACCAAAAAACAAACATTTCTTAAAATCTAAAATATTTTCTGGCTTTGAATAACCTACAAAAGGTTAATAAACCGTAAAAAACGAATCAATCAATCAAATTTCGAATGTAAAACACCTGGATGGAAAGAAATAGTATAAATAATCTATCTTGAACTCTTTAAAATGTATGTTCGTGATGATGAACAAAGAATGGTTGAAAATGTTTAAACCGAATCCTCTGGATAATAATTTTTCGCATGAAAACAAGAAACATTCTCGTAAAGGAACAAGGAAAAATGATACGAGCCAAGTTCAAATTCTACCTTTGTTCATTTCACACTAAAAAGAACTTTTTTTTAAAAGGCATAAATCCATTTTCCCCTAAAATGTGGGTTAAATAGAGAGGTAGACTGGACTCTCTAACCTTAGTAGATGGCAGAGAGTCTAGGAGAAAAATTACTAGAAAAATTCAAAACCGCATATTTCTATGAAGGGACATAGAATATATATATATATATATATATATATATATATATATATATATATATATATATATCAGTGGGCACTGATGTCAACACAAGATGACAAAAATCTGTTTCATGCTTGTAAACAAACATCAGGTTCTGACTGGGATGAAACATGAAACAGGCCGTTTCTGCGTGCTGTTGACCTCAGTGTTCACTTTTATATTTACATATGCTCTATTCCTGTTATTTTCACACACACACACACACACACAGATATATATATATATATATATATATATATATATGAATTATATATATATTATGAATCAATATTGCATGGCAACTGTCAGATCCGTATCTTAAGCGATTATCAAACGATATGACACTCTTCCTTTTCCATTTTTCACACCTTTTCTTTCCTATCCTCTCTCTTAATTGTCGCTTAATATTATATGTGGCGCCTGGGGTGGCGGGCCCGCCATAGCCACCGAAACTGTGAGATCACCCCAGGTCGGCGGCTGATGAAGACAGGGTACCGCACGTGCTAACACACGTTGTATGTTAAAAATAAATATATAGTTTTCTTTGGCAGAAAGAATAACTTATTGCAACTCAGTGTGGCGTAAGATAGAGCAGATTCTTTCCTCTGATCCGCTATTTACTCGGGGTGATGTGATACAAGGTCGTTTTTAAAGTGGAACCCCCAAAATTGGCCACTTCAAATTTCCCTCTTTAGTGCAATGAGGGAGGTGTTGCCCCATTGTTCACATTCCAGGGAATAGACATAATTTTAAGAGAAAGAGAAGACAGGTACTACACTTGGTATGGTGATGGGATATGTCACGGTTCGGTTAAAAGTGGGAAGCCCAAGAGCGTGCATATGTGCCGAGGCCAAAAATTGTTCAGTCCTCGCAACTAAGGTCGCGCTGGCGTTGATATTCTACCAACCATTCCTTTTTGGTGTAATGAGGAAGGTGCTCCTGCAGAGTTGGAATCCCTGGGACCAGGCATCTTACATTTATTTGTTGTGTTCTGTCCGAAGACAGAGACACAATTGGGATATAAAATGTAGTTTGTCCGCCCGGAGGCAGACACAACACATTGAATTCAATTACTGCTCCATGCTGGCAGGATATGACACAATGTCAGTTTAATGTGGGTAACCCGAGTGCATGCACCGGGCCAGGTCCAAAAATAGCCCAGCCCACGCAGTCGTCGATTGCACTAGCATCAGTATTACTACCGATCACCCTTCTTTAGTGCAATGAGGTGGGGACTGCCGTGGGTAGCTGTTCTCCGAGACCGAGCACCTTACAATAATAATTTCAGAGACACAACTGAGTTGTGCTCTGTCTGAAAATTGAAAGATAAAATGTAGTTTATCCGTTCGATGACAGATACTACAAAGTTCGTTCAAAATTTCTAAGCCTCACAGAAGGAGTTGGAAAAACATGACTGTTTCGCACTATTTTTCAATATAGATGACATCAATGCACGTGGTCTAACGATGCTTAAGAATTGCAATCCCATCACGGAATAAGGTCACTTCCTGGTCCTTCAAAAAGTCATCCACAGTATATATGATCTCATCATTGTTTCCAAAATGGCGACCATGCAGTTGGGATTTGAGCGAAGGAAACAGGAAAAAGTCAGATGGAGCTAAGTCTGGTGAGTAAGGGGGATGGGGTAGCAATTCAAAACCACAGTTAATTGATTCAGCTACTGCAATCTGAGCAGTGTGAACGGGCGTGTTATCCTGGAACAAAAGCCCACCTGCCCTCAGTTTTCCTCTGCATTTCGACTTGATTGCTTCCTTCGGTTGTTTTAATTCTGATGCATATTACTGTTCATTAATAATGTTTTACCTTTTCCATGTAGTCTATCATAATTACCTTGCCAACAAACACTGTCTACTTGAGCTTCTTCTGGGGTGGAGAACTAGAGTGTTTCCATTGTTTGCTTTGAATCTTTGATTCAGGTTCGATATGTCAAACACAGGTTTCAACCCGAGTTACTAATCTGCGGTGAAAATTCTCAGGGTAAGCCTTGAAGCGAGCCAGAAGTGTCTTGGAAATGTCAACCCTTTTCAGCTTTTAATCTGGTGTCAGCATTCTTGGGACCTATCTTGCAGACAGCTTGCTCATCCCCAAGATCTCAGTTAAAACCGAATGCTGGACAGTAAGACGTCTATCATGTAAAACAATACGGGGAATGGCATCAACTGGTTCATCAATGGTTAACGTTTGTAGACGATCTGACCGCGTGTCATCTTCTGTGCCGTCTCTGCCCCGCTTGAATTCTCCGGCTCACTTCTTCACAGTTGTATAAGAAGAGGAATTCTCACTAAATATCTCTATCATGTCCTCAGGTATCATAATTTTCTTTTGCAGATACTTTATCATTACTAGGGCTTCTGTCTTGTTCAGTTTTAGATTTGTCACACACATTTGTATGGGCCTCACCTACACAGAACCTTGAATTAGTTTTTCTGTTTTTATAAGAACTGGTAATGTGTTGTCCACATCAAAAATGTTCATCTATGGCTCTTCTTTCTGGGTGAAGCTTAGAACTTTTTGAACGACCTTCGTACACCTTGATCCCGGTCCGAATGTTGGGTACATTCATATAATCACATCTAAAATAATTAATAGCTTCAAAGGACAGAAAATTGTAGAGAGACATGATCACCAACGTCCACAGGGACACCGAAGAAGATGGCTCTAACGTGTGTTTCATGAGAAAAGTATATCCTGTTAAGATAAAAGACACCTGGCCTTCATTTTAGATGCTTTTGCGCATGTCTAAGTCTTGATCTCTGTTTCGTGTAGATAACAACGGTCACGTAAGTTATGAACCATCATGTGTCTATAAATTTTAAAATGTTTGTATGTGTTTAAGCTTATCTGCATTTCTGTGAAATTGTGTATTTTTGAACACACGATATAGATGTTTACTGTTTATGACAGTCGTGATATTACAAGTACGAGTAGAATTTGTTTAACAACAAATATGTATCACAAAGCTTTCAATGTGGTTACAGTGCAAAAGGGAGACATGAAACAGTTTCAACAGCGACCGCATTTAATCTGGTAATGCGTAAGATTGGCGTAAGATGTTTTCTAGAAACCAAGTAAAGTACAAAGACATGGGATAATTAACGTTAAAAACAAAGAAAATGGTGTTGAACTACAATGTTAATATCTAATCACAGGTTAAATTTTTTACAGAAACGCACCATTCCTAGAAATAAACGATTTTTTTCCAGGTTTCTTTTCACATCACTATCGAATATGGATTCTAGATCAGGAATATCGATTTTCTTTTATTTTCTAAATTTTAAGTGGTGGTTCATTTAGTTCCTTAAATTAATTTTAAATCGCCCCCACCTACATAAGCCAAAATAAACAAAAATATATGTTTATACCATGTGATGAATCACATCCTTATTTATAAAATTTAAAATAATTTCAAGTTAAAATAATAATAATAATAATAATAATAATAATAATAGCGCTTGAGGAGTACCGGTTTGCAAGCTGAAACAGAAGGTTTAATTATTGCAGCTCAGAACCAAATCCTCGCAACCAGATCGTATCACTGTCACATAATCAAGAATGGAACTAACCCGAAATGTATGATCTGCGGAAAATATGAAGAAACTGTCGACCATAAAAAACTGAATATACCCACAGACATAACAAGGTAGCGACATATGTGCACTGGAAGATATGCAAGAAGCACAAAATCGAAAACACTGAGAGCACCAACCAGATACAGTTACCCAAAATAACGATGTAACTATCCTTTGGGACATGCCAATTCAAACTGACAGGAATAAAAGCCAACAGACCAAATATTATCATAAAAGACAGAAATTCAGGAAGAGTATGCTTATTGACATAGTAATACTAATCTGAGAGAAACACTTCTATTAAAATTATCGAGAAAATGTCCAAATACAATTACTTGGAGATTGAGATTAACAGGATATGGGAGATGAAGACTGAGACTGTGCCAGTAGTAATCGGAGCTCTGGGCCTATTGAGAAAAGGAATGGACAATTTTACTTACAGTGTCCCAGAAGACATCCTATATTCTAATGAGTCTATCGGAACCTTTTCCAATCAATCCGATAGTTCCAAATACAATTGGAATTAATGATGTCCTCATGCGCCATATTTTTGAGCTTTCCACTTCAAGATCTTTATAAGTTTGATACTTTACTTGAAGATCTTCAAAGATACATTACAATCTGCAAGACCTGCCATGTCAATAAGAAAGCACATTCTGTTCTTGTGGCTGGGCGATTAGCTTTGATTATTCTGTCTGTGTGTATTATGAAATCCGATAAAATTATTATAGGTCATATCT